TCTGGTACTCTGGAATCAGTCAGGTACATTGGTTGTTTGACGCGTTTGCTGTGCGAAACGATTCAAGAACCCTATCCAACATCATGGACATAAAAAGTGATAGTGGCTGTGTAAGTAATGCGATAACTAAACACCTGGTTAACACTGATAATTCTATCTCAACGAACGCCTCCTACTTCAAAGTAATCTACGAAGTCAATCAAGAATAACCTACCAAAGGCAACACGGTTTCGTCTTCTTCGTATTGTTGAAGCTCTGAACATTCACATAGATAGAAAACCGATGCTGTGTATACAAAAGAGAATCACTCAACCTATTCCACCATCATGGTAACAGATTTGTTGATTTTTGATGGCTCAATTTTGTTTGTTTGCCTTATAATTCTTGCATATTCATTTAGAACTCTTACGTAATTTCGCATCCTCTACTTTGTTTCTATGTGCATCCTGAGTGAGTACAACTCAATCTTCAAACCGTTCATATTATCTTGTAACTCCTTTTTTAACAACCGTTTGTGAGAACTAATCACATTTTTTACTACCCTAGTTCCATGGACATCCAATTTTCTTGACCGTTTTGGCATTACGTAACTCCACTTAAAACTTACTAATTCTCACACACACCCCTGCTTTTAGTTAAAATAACCAAAATCAATCGTATTTTTGATTGACAAACTTAGTGTACACAAACATAAAGAACCACCCATTTTCTGAGTAGCTTGAAAATCCCCACTGAGTCATTTGAAAAAGAGAAGACGTTCAGCTAAGAGACTCTCTTCGGCGAATTCATTCACATAGCTATACAATCGCATTTATACATAATTATCAGGGTAGCAACAGAGGCAATAACAGGTAGAGACTAAGTAGGAGTGAAATTGAGCAAATCGGTTGGATGACGTAACACAAATGACTAGAAATTGAGTGTTGTTCAAGTCAGCAACATTTGTAGTGAGGTGTAGAAATTAAACCGGGTGGGGGTAGAGAACAAGAACGGACAGCTTACTAACTTTCACAGTCGGGTACCCCTTTACATCAAACGAAACCTGATCCGTTCACTCGGCTACAGAGTTCGCAGAATTTGCACCCCGGACACCATATAAGATGAAATGGACAATCCCAAGAGAATCCTCGTCAAGAATTGGTATCCAGAAAGATTTATTGCAAAATCTATGAATCCTAGACCAGAAAAGCCGCCCATACTTAGCGTCCGTAAAAAACTACCCTACATGAACCTTCAATTCAATGGAGACATATCTGCGGAAACACTAAAAAATCGACTGTCACGCTCACTTAAGAAGACCTTCTTCGCAGCTGAACTATGACTAACATCTCCACAACACCTATGATTCATGTGAACGTGAAGGATAAGCTACCGCTGCTGGCCTCACCAATTCACCTGTTTGTGTGGAGCCAGATATGTCGGCCATACCCAGCGCTCGCTTTCCAAACGTATCACCGAACACTTACCAACATGGTTTTACAAAGGAGAAAATCGATGCCCCCGGAGTTCCATCTTCCTGAACTCTGCATGCAGAAGAAGTTCGTCCAATCACTACACTTGCAATGGACTTAATCTATCTTATTACCCGACATGTAAATTCTACCTAATCTTTTTTTGTCTCTTCATTAGTATTATTTTGTCTTCTCAATTGTAATATTTTACATTTTCAACTTTCTTATTCTCTACCCCCACCCGATTTAATTTCTACACCTCACTACAACTGTTACTGACTTGAACAACGCTCAATTTCTAGTCATTTATGTTACGTCATCCGACCTATTTGCTCAATTTCACTTCTACTTAGTCTCTACCTGTTATTGCCTCTGTTGCTACCCTGATCTAATTTGAAATATCTTAGTCAATTTAATTACGTCATCTAACTTACTAACTCAATCTTACTTTACTTGCTGTCTGATTAACCTTGTTTCTATATTAGATCATTCTTGCATTACCTGATCAATTATCTAAACTTGACGAACCTCGTGTACACATACACACAAATAATTATGCATAAATGTGAATGAATTCGCCGTAGAGAGTCTCTTAGCTGAACGTCTTCTCTTTTTCATACAACCCATTTTTGTATGTTAGCGTTTGTACAGGTAAAAGGGGAAATGAATTCACCACCGCTGACAAGAGGATCAATCATTGCTGAACACTACGTGTTTTGTTTTCAATAATGATCATATAAATAACAAGGATGATAAATTGAGGTGATGCGTGATAACAAGAATAACGAAAAACCGCATGAATCAACAAACAAATGTGTTCAGGTAGAAGCAATCGATAAAGGCTAAGGAAAACAAATGAACCGATTAAGGGATGCTAGATTGATTGTAAGAGAATCAAGTAAATTGCGTTTTGATGAAGATTGTGATAAGATTAAGGGATGATAAGAAAGGCATTGAAAATATTAGTAAAGAGTGATGATGATGACGCCATCATTTGCTTAGGTCTTATGTAGTCAAGAGAGGGATTATGGATATACGAACTTCTTTTGAATGGGCATAGCTTAGGCTTGATAGTTCAAAACGCTTTTCGTTTCAGCTATGTACAATGGACAAATACGAAGTCTTTCTATAGTTGGTTTCTCAGGATAAGATTTGTTTATACGAGTTTGACCACGGATTGGTTGACAACAGCTAGAGAGGCATTGGAAAACAGCCACAGGCAGTACTGACAGACAGCTGTTTCATATGGCTAGTTTGAGAGTCATCGATAGCATGAACTTGCCTTGTAATCAGAAGGTCCTGGGTTCGAATCTCAGTCTGGTGGGTGAGTATTGCCGGTGATTCCCAAACTAGGCAGAAGAAACAGCTGTCTGGCAGTACTCCCTGTTTCTGGTTTTCAGTGGCTCTCTACATGATATCAACCAATCCGTGGTCAATCTCGTAAAAACAAATCTAATCCTTACAAACGAAACTCTTGAAAATTAATGTGATGCTGGCTAATGATTGGCTGGCTACAGGACTAAGTTTCCTGGAAATCCAGTGAGAAGTCATGACCAGTGAGGTCTATCCAATCAGGTGTGTAGGGGTGGATTTCCCGACGCTGACACTGGTTGGTGCTGATGTCGGCAAATCACGAATTTGTAGAAACTAGAATTTATGGGCTGGACGGCAATTGAATCAAACGGGTCCCAGTGAGTGTCTGAATGGTATATGAGCCTGTCTTGTAATCTGGAAGGTCCCTGGTTCGAGCCCTGGTGGTAGGTGTGCACTGCCGATTATTCTTAAAATAGGCAGGTGAAAGAGCTGTTCAGCACTCCCCAGCTGGTTTTGAATAGTCCTCTAAATGATTTCAACCAACCCTTGGGCAAACTCATATAAGTAATAATAATCTACCTTATTTCGAAAACAGCACTACTTATAATACAGAATAGAATTCTCAGCATTCGTCACAACACCTTGCATATGATTTACTCAAAATATAAATAAAATTAAAAGAGAAATTAACCAGAGGAATTTGTCTTCATTTACGGTATAAAGTCAAAAATATTCGAAGTATGAATTGAGAATATCAGATATAATAATAATTAAAACAATGGGTTTGTTTCAAACAGTATTGACGATTCAGTTTGAAAATTTTAGCATTTTACAGATTATTGAATATAATATCCTGTTGTTATAGTATGGTGAGAGGAAAGACTAAATGTAACAGTTACAACACAACTTAAATGATGTTTACACTTATGAAAAAGATAAACAAATAAAGAAAAATAATTGAGAGGATTATAAATATAAGAAGAATAATAACAACAAAAGTTGATTGATGTTGTAAAAGTGGAGAAATGGCTTATATAATAGTACCAAGAAGCTTAGTCAGTTCATGCCTAACACTATTTTCATCACATAAAGCACGTGCCACAAAATATGGTATCGTGGAATTATTTTTATACTTAGACATACGTGCATAAAGTCTTCAGAAAAGACTTCTTGTTTTACCTGAGGAGACCAGGGTAAAGTGGATGTTCACAGTCTGACGAAATGCCTTTAGCAAATTTGTTGCATGACATCAAGTGCCTATCAATAACAATGTCAAGGATATGGCTCAGTGAGATGCCACTCGTCCTACTGACAGTACTCAGAGTTCTACGAAGTATGACATAGTCTTTTTTATGCAATCCAGGCAAGAATAAGGGTGAACAGTAAAGAAGAATAGGTAAGATACACGAGTTGGTAAACTGTAAGAGGAGGAGTGTTTGAGTTGTGCCTGAGTGCCTTAACTTCTTAATGTAAAAAGTCAGGCAAAATATTCTTTTAGAAATCGCTAAGACATGGAAAGACCAGGATAGGTCAGTAGAAAGAATTTATCCAAGATACTTAACTTCAGACTTGATTTCTATATCACTATCATCAATTTTGCAAGGCTCATAGGAACCAACAGCTTCATTTGACTTTCTTTTAATCGGAAATTGAAATTATTTGTCTGACATTTGGAAGGATTTAGTTTAAGACCATTAGATGAAGATCATTTGCTAACTCCTGACAGAAAGCTATTCATCTTAGTACAGTCTAATCGGGAGTTAACAGACAATCAAATAGTCACATCGTCCGCATACTTAACAAAGTTCATGTCATCATCATGAGAGTGAGGCAAGTCATGCGAGAAGAAAGAAAACAGGAGAGGAGAAAGAACTGTGCCTTTAGGGACACCAGCCTCAGTAAGCAATAATAATAATAATAATAATAACAATAATTTATTTAACTTCTAATTTCATTTGTAATTATGACTGACAGCAAAACACTCCATCAATGAGAAAAAGTTATTTCTGCCTATAATTAGCTAGCATTCTTATTCTCGTAATTATCAATGGTCATTAGCTTAACCAATCAGATAAAAAGTTTCCAGATGAGTGATTCATTTCGCATAAACAAACAATTTTGATTGGTTAAACCTAAAAACAATATTATTATTGTAAGGATTTATGAATTGCATTATAATGATGTTGATTACAGCTCATTAATTACTTCTTGTTCGGTTTTTTTTTTAAATTTAAGCAACAAGACAAAATACTCAGGAACAAAATATTACAAATTTGCCATCATATACAACTAACTATTCACCGACAACAACATCAACAACAAGTCCATCATTGCACAGGAGACAAGTGATAAATAAATCAGCAGATCGTACAGAGTGCTACTCACAGTTTCACGAAAAAATCAATTCTAATCATAACATTGAGTATCGAAGGAGAGAGTACAGATTACCAGGAAATATTGAAAGCCAACAATATAAACGACGGCAACATAATTTTATTCATTTGAGTTTACCTTCATGTGAAGAACATCACCCAACGTCGAATGATTTCAGTCCTTTATTTTCATCAACTGTTTCCTCTTCTACCTGTGCTATAACATCAGTGGGAGAGAGGGAGATAGAAACGTCGACATATCGATCAAATTTGAATAGTATTGGCAAAGCCTTAAGTTTTTCTGGTCGATCAACAGATGACGAATTGAATGAGAACAAGTATAGTGATCAGAATCGTAGTCAAAGATTACAGCCTAACAGTCAAGTTTGTGTAAAACGGAAAATTAACAGACATATGTCAAGTAGTAGTACTACTAATACTCCTATTGCTAATAATAATCCTACTACTAATCAGCAACCAACAGTTCTAACCACAAAACGCGGTCATCTAGCTGTGACACCCTCCATAGAAATCAGTTTGGTCAGTGATGAAACATTCGATGCTCATAATAATAATAATGATAATGCCAATGAACAGAATGATGAGACATTCACTCCCAATCTATCTACATATTCTGTTGAAAATCGAAATCGTCGTAATTCAAGCCGTCAAAGAATGCCGAATATGCGTTCATCTTCTTTACGCATTGATGCTGATACAAACGATAATGTTATGCCTGGTAAAATGTATAATCGTCCTGTTGTCTCTAATCAATATTTATCTACACAAAATGAACTCAAACTGAAAGGTGAATGTGAGGAGACATCAACAACACCAACAACTAGTCATGGAAGAAGAGGAAAGCTAATCAGGCAGTCAAGATCATTTCAAAATCCTTTGGAAGCAAATAATAATCTCTCCAGTGAAGGAGAAGAAGTTAATTCTGATAGTATGTTGACTACACTGAATACAAATAGAGTTCTAGATGATTTTGATTATTTTTGTCGTATTGCGAATGTACAACCAAATGAGAGTACATCGAAACGAGGCTTACATCCCCCTCTGTCTGCATCATATGCACGGAGTAATTCAATGCGTGAATATGGTGTGGAAAGACAGAAAAGTGTCAGTGAAGTGAGTGGTCACAGTAGTCCTGGTGGTGTTGTCACCAGTCAGCTGGATTCATCATCCAATAGTGATTTAAAATTCTCTAAAGGCTCAAAATCCGCTAAATCTAGTTTCTTAAAACCTCCGTCAAACAGACAATTAAGGAGGGCTAATACTGAAGAAGATCCTTTGAATAAATCACCATTGATGAATAAACGTCCACTAGCTGCGACATTAAGTTATACGTCAATGACAAGTAGCTATTCTAATCTGTGCATATCACCATTACCGCCACCCCCGAAATCTATACCATGTGTTCCCTTAGTATTGGATGATCTTGTCAATACCGATGTACCATTAGGTGTGCCGTTATCCATAGATTCAATGGTTGCTGATGAACCTGGATTGACATTTTATCAAGTGCAAGTTTTGGGTTCATCCGGGGTTGGGAAAACCTCCTTATGTCAACAGTTGGCATCACTTGTTAGTGAAAATTCATCAAATTGTAAGTTGACGAAAAATAAATCTCTCTCTCTTTATTTATTTTAATAGATGCATTTTCAAAGAGGAATTTTTTTTCGATAAATTGTCACACACACATTGTGTGGTTTTTGTACAGTAATATTTATTGATGATGCCACCACGCGATTCGAGCACATTTTATCACTGCTACTACTACTCATAATCACAATCATCATATCAAGGCACACTACTCACACACTACTAACTTTCTTGCTTCGTCGTTTATATACATGCATAAGTAGAAATCGATGATGATTAGACAACATTCGATTGAATAAAATCAATCAGTAATATAAGGTGAGAAGAAAGTACATTCGGAAATAATAATAATAATAATAATGATATTAGTGTTATCAATCAATCAAATACAATCAGATAATGGGAAGGGAAAGAAGACGAGTGTCTTTATAGTGAAATAAATAAATAACTTGTTAGCATGTTATAATGTGTATGTGAATTGAATTGAAATAGAATACAATTTAATATCATTTATTATCCCACTCTGACTTGAATTACTGACTGACTGACTGGTGGTAATAATATCTTCCATATCTGTGCTATTAGCTAGCGATGATGATGAGTCACTTCTATTGCATGTGTTGTGTTGTGTTGGGTGTGTAGACTCGATGAACCAGCCCGGAATCAGTTAGTAATCAATCTCTCTCCATCTCGATCTCCGCCTAAGTACATTACTTTTTAGAATGTTAACTCTGTCCCACTCACATGATTGTGTGTTAATGCACGCAGTGCAATGTAGTGATGAGCTGTTTTCTAAATTACATATCTTCGTGGGTGGGATCAATCATTTTAACCTTAGCTAAATTCATTCATTCTGACAGCCAGTCTGAGTACACGCAATCTACTGATCTGACCCACCTATATAGGTAGTTGACGTAACTCACAGTCAGTGCAAGGTATTCTGTTGATTGTATTATTTTGTTTAATTGGGTCTGCCGGGTCCTTCAATCTACACAGCTTGCCTCCGAGTAAGTTTGTTGCTTTGACTGCCACTCTAATTTCCAAGAAGGGATGGTGTCAGATGTCCCCTTATTATATGGTCAGACTGTAGGTGCCTTATATTCTTCCTTATTTATATTATCGTGATTTTTATTTTGTTTTGACCTATTCTGATCTTCTTAAAGAATTTTATAGGATAGTTAGTTATTCAACACCAACCAGCAATTCTTCTATCTGTTTTATTTCATCATTTTGGTCTTTTTTGTTGTACTACTTAGTAATGCTTCTGCTCGGTTTGTTAGATACTTGACTGAGCGTGCCTTTACAGATAGATAATAAACGGATGAGATGAATTAAAGTTTAAATATATATTAGCAGAATGCGTTGGCTTTCTATAAACGCCTTTGTACATACACTTTACTTTCTTCTCTTTGTTTCATTTTACAGTCTAACATCATAGCTAATTCTCTTTGTTCATTTTCCGATTCAAATGTGAATATTATTCCTTCCACTAGTGGGTTTATATGTATCAAGTAGCATGAGATATGTTGCCACAGTGCCTACGCTTTTTTTCTTCTTGTTATCATTGTGTATTTTGAGAAGATGATAAGTATGAGAAATACTTTTAAAGTACGCATAGTTTCTTGTTGCCATGAGGTAGTTGCAGGCAATACGCTACAGAAGGCCCTATATGGACTAAGGTTTCGTGCTGGTTGGCACTTATCAGCTACCTTCATAAGGTTCAACAATGATATGACCACAATAATTACGGAAGGATTGCGGCTGATAAAAGTATGAGAAACCCATAAGTAAGACACTTAACTGATTAAATTCCTGATAAGATGTCTGATTGACTGACTGACTGATTGATTGGTTTCAACGGAGAACTTTGCCTACATGTGCAGCACTTACAGTTACCAGACTCCCTCCCTCCATTTAGCACACAAAGCAAGAGAACAGAGTAAAGAAAGATTCAAAAGAGAAATAATAAGCAGAAATATGAGTGAGGGAAAAAGATTAGTATTGTAGAAGAACAATTGCGTTTGTCGCATAGTGGTAGAATGCTAACCGAACATACATGTGGTCCGGAGTTCATTCTCTGGCCGACGCACTTCTTTACTTCGCTAAACCAGTAATAAGACCGGTAAGGAGGTAAGCTTCGTGGCATGAGGCTAGCAACTCAATCACGTAAAAACAAACACCACTGATACCGAAACTACAATCCTTTAGCTTGAAGGCGCCCCATGTCTCACTGAGAACGTAAATGAATAAACAAAATGGAAGAACAACAAGCCTATGTCTTCTTACCATTATTATCATTAATATTCTCAAGTAGGCGACCAAAGAATTTTGTCAAACCAAAGGGACCTTAGTTGTTCCTCCTTTCACAGCCTACAGTTTTTTATCTGTGAAGATTGGAATACATGACAGATAATAGGAATTTCAAGGGACACTAGGTCTGTGGTTTTGCTGTAGTGTCATTGTGTATCTTCACAGTGTCTTCATTTAATCGTTAATAAATACACCTTCAAGCAGCCGTAAGCGTTATATACTCCATTAAATAATCAAGGGTGCCGTTAATAACAGTCCGGTCATCAGGTTAGGTGGGCTAGGCTAAAGAGTAAGCAGGTGAAATGACCAAAGCTCATGTGTTGCAAGACAAATGGTCATGCGCCGATAAGAAGCGAGCTTGAAGTTGATTAAGCAGCCTAACTAACTGCTCTCCTAGAATCGTGAGTGACTAATTGGTTTAAACGTAGAACTGTGCAAAGTGGTGCATTTCAATTTGCCACAATCCGTCCTTCCATGTAGCACACAAAGAAAGAGAAGACAGAGGGAGAGATAATAAACACAACTGTGAGTGAGGTAAAAAGAACAGTAATTTGTAAGAACAATAGGTTGTTATTGGATAGGATAAATCACAATGGGTGAATAAATCTGCGCCAGCGATTGACAATGATTTTGAGCCAGCTATATCATCAATTGTGTCTAGCCTCCATTGATTTTTACCATCCCAAACACCTCAATCAACTAACTGTTATTGATTTCGTCAGCTGATGGAGCCACGTTTTGGTTTGACAACCACTAGCTAACTCTTTTTCAACCTCATCCATCCGATATCAGTGACTAACATCACCCCACTCGTCGGTCGAAGAAGGCGATGGCTAAGCAGGCAAGCACGCCATAACCACCTTTCTCAATCTGTGTAACTGCTTTACAACATCACCGATTGATAAATTTAAGGAAGTAACATACACACAGAATTTTTAAACTTATAGATTCAACAGAAGGCCAGCTGTGGAAGAGTAGTAACTGGTTGAACCCTTTTCACTAGCACACAAACACGCACAGCTCCGGTTGATTTAAGCGGATTTAGACGGCCACTCCTGTTGTGTGTTTGCTATCTAGAGAAAGAACTTTGTTAAATTATTTGACACAATATAGATGATAGGTTTGTTGAGTGCTTTGAAGACGTGATCTGCTATGGTGGAACTGTTGATGCTTTCAAAAACTCTTCTACTTAGCAACATTAGAAGGTGTTCCAGAAAAGGAATGCTTAAATTTCTAGAGCAAAGGCAAAATATAACTATCTTCACAGAAGCGCTTGAATTGATGGACAGACAATTCAAAGGCGGCTTGCCTCAGCTTGCCTCATTCATCTTTCACTTACAAAATCACATCTAGTTGTGCGTGATATTTAAGCTACGGCTTATAGGAATAAAAGCTTTTTGTTGTTGTTTTCAATTAGATCTTCTTCAGGCTTTACTCTAAATTACATAGATAATAATAATTTGCTTTATTCCAGAAACAGTACTAATGGTACAGTGTGGAATTTTCAGCACATATCTACAATATTTGCATCTAATTTTACAAACATTTAAAAGGAGTATTAAACAAACAAAAAAAATCTAAAGACACCAACAGCAAAAAAACAACAAAAAAACAGGATAAACACAAAATAATTGTAAGTGCGAAAAAGTATCAAGAAGTAGAAAGGAAAATAAACATCATATAATAATAACTCAATATTGGGTAGTGGAAGCTATGATATGATTATGCATGGTGACAGTAAAGCTATAGTCATAAAAGAAGTTATGAAATGATATTTAAGAATGTTTATCGCCCAGATGGTCAGTTAATTTGATTGAAACAACTCTAAACAATCATAAAATAACATTTCTGGGTTGTTGTTTTGTTTTTTATTGTCAGGTCTAATGCAGTGTTTGTAGTGGTAGTGTGAGTAATCCTGAATAATACAAAAAATTTTAAAGTGGTGACTATGGCGTTCACAACCAATGATTGTCAGTTTAATATTGCCGAAAAGTATAGAAAATAAGAAAAAACAACTACAAAACTAATAATTACATGATGGTTAATGACAGGACAATTTTGTAATACTCATAGTGCTAAGAGAGTCGGAACCAGTGGATACACAATAGAAGGAATATAGTAAAGTACAAAAAAGGAAGCCAATGTTAATAATTTAGGTAGCTAAGTATGTTTGAGAAGGAGTTCACTATAGAATACAAAATAAGAGAGAAATAAAAGAGCCTAAAATTATGTTGTTAATAACAAAGCAAGTCATAGGTTTCACGCTTAACATTGTCTCTGTCGCTTAGAACACGACAGTGCCCAAGTTTTCCACTTATATCAATATTACATAGATTTATGCATAATACAGAATTTAAACTAATGACGATGAGTTTGTGGATCAAATAATAAAAACAATAGTAACAAGTTGACAAATGTTTTGAACTTCATTCATAACGATAATCATAATGATAACAAAAATAATGACGACAATAAGGTTCATGCACGTGGCGATAAGAATAACAAAGGTGCTAATACGTATGTGTATACGTAGACAGTTAAATAAATAAATTTCCACCTCAATTTTAAATTGAACGAATGAAGTTCAGAATAGTATATCACTCACGTCTATAGAAGAGGAAGATAAATGTTTATCTTTCCTAGACACATTGCTTAGTCGACAGCTTGATGGGTCAATAAAACGATCTATTTATA